GGCTGCTTGGAGCGGAAAATAAGTTACCCAGGAGTTCATTTGCAAAGCACCTCGTGGACATGGGCCATACTGTAATAGTCGTGCCTGTCTCCTTTACTGCAGTGATCCCTGCGGCTGCTATTCCTTAAAGGGTTGTCTTGGACTCAGCACCGGGTGTCAAATCTGAATTTCACAGGTTGTCAGCGTCACTCATCATTCAGTCAGAAACTCAAGCTAGTGTGAAACTCAGTAGAACTGTCTGAACACAAGAGATTTATATATTGAGATGGGTTATATGAGGGTGGGGAACGTATAGTCTCAATGAAGATGGGGATAACGGCGGTCAAAAGGAATTATTGTGCACTTCACTGTGTGGTTCTGAAGTAGATACTGCATCCACTGGAATCTTCTTTTAAACTCTGTTAAAATCCTCGTACTGGTCTGTAAGGTAAGGAAGCAAAAGGCTCGACTAAATCACAGCACCACAAATCGCCGTTTCGTCTCTTTTTTGACTTCCCGCCAACTTCGTCCCTGTCCGCCACTACAATATGGGGGACCCAATGACTGTATTTAAGGTCTAACTTCGGACAACAGCTGGGCGCCTCATGTGCTTTACGGTGCCTCCAGTGCAATACACAGAAAACCAGTACTCTATGAGCAGCTGGATCATGTGATCCATCTCGCACAGCCATGACAAGTATCCATAAATGACTCAACCGCCTTCCCACACTTGTCCCCTTACTTCCACCGCATGGCTATCTGCTATCCCCCACGTTGCAGTTTCAATCCAGCCCGACAGATTTTCACTGAAAGCTGAACTCGCTTGCTTGGATGACTTCTCTTCCCCTTTCACCTCGCCATGCGCACTCGTATATCGGACCAACAGTCCAGGTTTTATTTATCTATCACTTTTCATCCCTCTAGGTCGTCATCTAGTTGAACAGTCTATTTTATAGGCAGATTAACATTACCGACAAAGACAAGGGGGACTGGAATGACCATTTCTGGCTTATTAGCTGTCGTCAGCCAGTCATACCCAACCCCGAGGTGTGTAACACCTGGGGCTCGATCCCGCGAGTCCAACACCCTTAATATTGTATATTCCCGATCGCAACCGACAGGACGAGCCCGTTGGTCAGTGATTAGAGGCTTGGGATTTCCCACCAACAGGTCGCGGGATAAAGCCCCAGGTGTTTCACACCTCGGGGTTGGGTATGACTAGCTAACGACAGCTAATAAGCCAGAAATGGCCATTCCAATCTCCTTTCTCTTTGTCGATAATGCTACTCTGCCTATATTACGTACCGTTATGCGGCTGCTGGCGGTGCCTTTGCTCTGATCACATTTATGCATATTTTTCCTAGGATCAAGTCATTTAACCTCATCCGAACAACCTTTTCCGCTCTGATTTTCTATCTTATTTTACCTCTCTGCACCTGACTACTTTATGTTCATTGTTTGCTGCATTTCCTCTTTTGGTTCATTTTGCAGTGGCGCTCTATATCCACTGTTTTTGCATTCCGTCCCGTTATACCTTCCCCTCCCGTTTTTTCGCCGCCCAATGACCCCCTTTTCATACCAAAAGCGGCCATTGCGCTTCCGGTGTGAAAGCCCTTAAGCGGTCAAGGTGTGTTCTAGTTAATTATTCTGCTTAGTGTTCCACCGACGACTGAAAACCTTTGCCAAGTCAGTGAATTCCCTTATACGGCAGTGAAATGTCTACGTGAGGAGCAAGACATTCTAAATTAGCACGTAGGAGACTTAGTGAAGAGTGTACCAGCGACGCATTGACCAATGGCAGCAATCGTTCCATGAATCTGGGCCCGACACTCTGCATGCCTTGTTCAAACGTGTTCGTATCGTTTCTACCACATCTGCGGTAGAGCATTTGTGCACAACTTTTAGCTCGTTCATTCAGGCTCTACGTGGTGCTAGCGCGCATTAGTCACACTGGCGACATGACAACTCTTCAAATATCAAGCTGTGCATAAGAATGCACCTTCTGCGTAGGCTCCACAACTCGTCGACCCTGCACACGTTACTACCTGAAACTGCTGGGGAGACAGCAACTACGCCCCGATAACCGCTCCGACTACTGACAGGCGAATCTTTTGCCGACGTCCATCATGGCCATGTCTGGCGTCCTTGTTCAAGGCCCCCTCGCGTCAAGGTCACTCACCTTCGCAGCCAGGAGATCCAGACACGCGGCGTGCAGCCACTTGACCGACTTCGACTCGTACACACGTGCGTCCGTACAGAGTCGCAGCCGCCACTTGATCACACCAGCGCCTGCGAAGACAACATAAGTCACCTGAACACCACCCCTCGGTAAATGCGATCCTCACCAATTGGACACCACTTCAGATCGCCCCACAAACCTACAAAAGCAGCTGTTATCACTGTCTAACGCCCTATCAGGCATGACTGGACGCAGTCAACAATGGTCCTGGCCTCGCAAGCGGTCACTACCACCTGGGTTGACAAATCAGTGTTTTGTATACAATAAACCCCTCAATCTGGTGACTTCTGTTTTTTTTCTACAATTCGGGACATGGCCTGATGACTGAAGCGCTCCGAATGCACTCTCACCGCCTAGACGCTACAAATCCAAAGGGGACTAGACGCTTTTGCATGACAGTGGTGGTGTTGACTGAATGAAGGCAGGATAGGGGCGACTCTGTTTCGCCTTGGAGCGTCAGTCGACAGGCCTTGCAGACGGACGCGTAATGATGAGAAAGAGCAAGATGATAGTTGGTAGCCGTGCCCACAGACTCCACAATGGTACCTACTGGCTCGATTTCAGTAGCTGTGATTGCGTTCTCATTATGTTTCTAAATTCACGCGCACGCCGTAGAACCTGTATCAGATTCATTTTAGAGGTGCTATCGTGGGCAGATTTGCACCGGTTACGATGACAATGAGGCTTAACCTATATCAACTTTCATTAGAAGAGGTAGTTGGCAGCCGTGCCCACATAATTTACAATTGTACCTACTGGCTTGATTTCGGTAGCTATGAACACGTTCTCATTATGCTTCTAAATTTACGCGCGCGCTGTATTACCTGTACCATATTCATTGTGGAGGTACTATCTTGGGCGGATTGGCACCGGTAACGATGACAATGAGGCTTAACCTTTATCATCTTTCATTAGCAGAGGTGGCTTTCGACTGCCTCATTATTTGCGGATTTTCTCTTCCGCCCAAACCAATTTTTCGCATAAAAGTCTTACCCGGCTTGCGTTGTGGCGTCCCGCTTGCCGCTGCTTGACTCTCGTGTTCTTCCGTCCATTATGTTGGATGGAGTTCTATTGCACACACTGCGGAATGACCTTCGGACCAGTTGCCTTCTTCCCATTGGTTGTTCGCCTTCACTTCCTTTTCTTTCCAATCTGAGGCTAGGATGCATTTATTCCGCACAACGTTCAAAGTCTCCTTGCTCCTTTCCATACTTTCCTTGTATTTTTCACCTAATCTAAATTAGGCTTCCACTTTACCTGGAGCGTTAATTCCTAGCATATACTACAACCGCCATTTACTCGTCCACTCAATTTTCCCTTCCGTATAGCCCCTTTTACCACCGGTCCCGATTGACAGGCAGCTGGGAGTTTGCGGCTACCAAGTATCATCTAACCAAAATATATGCTATTGAGTAGCCATTTTTACTCACTGAGGTTATTGCAGGAGGCCCAAATGAGCACATTTAAATGCCAACATATTGGTGTGTCCCGAGAAAGCAGCAACGGATGGTTGTCATTGAATAGACAAGCCTCCCGTTTAGCTTTGGCTGCGGCGGCGGTCCGATTGGCCTGGTGGATGGCAGCGCCAGTCTTCAGTTCTCTTCTCCAGACTGGTCTGTTCTGGCGAGGCCCTCCCAGGTTTCCGGATTGATATGCAACCGCTTAAGAGACTTCTTCAAAGTGTCCATGTGTCTTCGTTTTGCCCCCCCAACCCCTGTTGGATAGCACCGGAAGCGACACCACCATAGACGAGTTGTTTCGGTAAACGCATATCTTCCATGCTCACGAGATGACCGCTCCAATGTACAGTAGGTGGGCTAATTCATGAAATGTCAACCCAAATTCCGAAATGCGTTTTCGTTTCGAAGAGATTAATTAAGTAAGGTTGTAAAACTAATTAGCCGACAGCATAATTCTATAATAATATAAATACCCCAGCATGCCGGCTTTAAAATGAACTTCTTTCCGGATGCATGCAAAAAGTTGGCTCTGTAAAAAATGACTACTTATGTAGCATGTATTTTTCTCATTGATTTTCGGTGCCCTTACATATTTTAATTATATTTCATGGAAAACATGAATAAAAATATTGATTCTTTTCCCATTTGGTAGAAAATGACGTCTTCTTCCAATTTTACAATCAAGATAAAGCTATGATTCGGATTTCAAAAACTTTTTCAATTCCCGAATAATTTTGAATCAGACTTGACTTAACACTTGCATTCAGGGTTTCCAAACTACAAGCCATATATTTTCCGCGTACTGAAAACCATACAGTTCTATACCGTATTAAGGGAATACTATATGGGGCTTATAAGATTTGGCAGTGGACTTGAGCCATATTGTTAACTTAACAAGCAACACTGGTGAATGCAGAGGCATGACGTTCTATGAACGGCCTTTTCACAGTATCAAAAAATCTCACAATCGGAAACTTTTTAAAACCAAATTATACCCTTCCTTGGAGTATAAAATTGGAAAAAGACGTAATTTTCTACCAAATGGGTAAAAGAATAAATATTTTTATTCGTGTTTTTCATGAAATATAATTAACTATTTAAGGTCTTCGAAAAGAAAGGAGAAAAATGCTTGCTACATAAGTAGTCATTTTTGACAGAGTATACTTTCTGCATGCATCAGGAAAGAAGTTCGTTTAAAAGCCGGCATCTTGGGGTAACTACATTATAGAATTATGCTGTAAGCCAATTAGTTTTACAACCTTTTTTAACCAATCTTTTCAAAACGAAAATGCATTTCGGAATTTCGGTTGACATTTCGTGAATCAGCCCACTTTCTGTAGTTGCCTCAGTAAGGCGTGGATGCCGAGGATTCCGGTCCGATCCAGGACTTCCATGTTGGGGATCCTGTCTTGCCATCTGAGATGCAATTTATTAAGCTTCTTGACATAGCTGGCGTCGACGATCCTGGTAACCGCTCCGTCGTCAGGACGACGGCCTTGTACATCTTCGGTTTGATGTTCAGTTGGAGGTTGTGACGAGTCCACACGGAGTTCTGTAGACGGCCGAAGCCTTGGCTGGCTTTGGAGATCTGGTAGGCCACTTCGTCCTTGATTCTGATACAGCGAGAAATTTTGCTGTTCAGGTTGTTGAAGCTTCAATTCGCTACCGTTGACACGGATGCAAGGGATACTGTATTCAGCTGTCGACGGCTGTTGATGCGTGATCCCCGTCTTGTTCGTATTCATGGTCGGACCCAAGTGGACGCAACCGGAGGCGAAGAGATCCATGCTCCGTTGCATGCCCACTTCGGTCGTATTGTTAAATGCGCAGTCGTCAGAGAGGAGCAGGTGGGGGATAGTAGTTGTGAGGAGCCGCGTCAGAGCCTGCATTCGCCGGATGCTGAGGAGCTGCCCATCGGTCCTGTAGTTGATGCGGAGCCCGGGCTTGTCATCACGGTAGGCGTCCATCAGCATGAGGATGAAGAGGTTGGGCGCGAGTACGCAGACTTGCTTCACTTCATTGTTTATTCCGAATGCCTCGGAGACTACGCCGTTGTCCGTGACTCGCGTCATTATTGCGGCGTTAAGCTGACGTAAGATATGCATGAATCCTTCGAGACCGCCGAACTTCTTTATGATTCTCCGCGGTCCTTTGCGATTCATCGTGTCGAAGACATTCCTCAGATCCACGAAGGTGGTGTAGAGGTGAGTCCGCATCTCCTGGCACTTCTCTTATAGCTGGCGGCGCGAAGATCATATCAATAATTGCGCTGTGTCGCCGGAATCCAAAGTGGTCTTCCGGCAAGAGTCCTTGCTCGAGATGCCGCGTTGAGACGACTGAGGTGGATGCGGGCGAAGGTCTTCCCGACGATTTTCGTTAGTGAGATGCCTCTGTGATTGTCACAGAGTTGCCGGTCCCCTTTGCACTTGCACAAATGGACGATGGTTGCGTCCTTCAGATCTCGAGGGCCTGTCCGCAGCGCCACATGCCCTGAAATAGCACCGCCAGTTTGTCCATCAGTCGGTGGCCGCCGTACTTCTAGGTTTGAGCTGTGATTGCACCGGAGCCGAATGCATTTCCGGTGGAGAGTTGTTGCACGGCGCGAATGGTTCCAGGGAGAGGGGGCAGGAGGTCCAGATTGATGTTAACTTTCGCTCGGGAGAGTCGATCGATGGTGGCCGGTGAAGGGACGGTTGGAAGGCCACAAACCGCCTTGATTGCAATGAAGAAGTTCGCTGATTCGTTGAGGTAGGCATACCCCTGGATCTCCTTGGCCTTGTGAGCTATCCAGGAGTCCTGTATTTTGCGCCACCGCTGTTGCGCAAGGTGGCGATATTGGTAGAAGGCCACTTTGTCCGCGTCGGTTGAACGATCGAAGTAGGCTCTGTGCAGACTGTTCCTCTCGCCAAGCAGGTTACTGATGGCTGCGTAGTTGCCCTCGGACCGGTCCTGGTGCGGGCGACGCACGCGGCTGAGGACAGTCTGAGCGGTCAAATGAATGACGTCCCGTAGTCGGCATCCTCGAGTCTCCACAAAGGCGTTTTCATCTGCAGCTGGCAGTTCTTCCGGCCGTTTGCTGAAATGCAAACGGTGAGCAGGCAAACACAACAAAGTAATATTCAGCTTGCCTGGGTGGCCTACTTCGAGGTCTCCTGCGAGGCTGTGGGCGAATCCGCATTTGGGAGATGACGAGGCGATGGTCGGCCCACCCGTTAGCACCCTGAATTGCCTTTGTCACCAGCACGTTCCGCTGGTCTCGCTTCCGGACGAGGCCAAAGTCCAGCTGGCGCCAGCGTCGCGAAAGAGAGTGCATCCAGATGGCCTGCTCGCGCATCGGGAGAGGGAAGTAGGTGTTAGTCAGGAGGAGCCGGTGTTAGGCGCCGGTTTCTAGGGGGAGCAGACCACTGCCATTGGAGCTGTCGAGACAATGGGGACCCAGCACTACTCTTCCCACACAAACACACACACACACACACACACACACACACACACGAGAGTTCGACCGTCGATTTCGACGATGACCACCGTGTGCCCCACAGCTGCAGCTGCAACGGTGGGAGCAGGGACGGTGACTTGCGCAGGGGTTTATAGTGCCAGTAGACTTGCGTAGCATCTAACTACATTCTATCCTCCTCCCCCGCCTGGGCCCGGTGTCAAGACAGAGTCAAGAAGACCGGAGACGAGGGAGGCCGCAGGTGGATGGCTCGGACGGATCCTCACCTTGGCGTTCCACCACACCCCCTGGTCCACACAACAAATAACCAGGATTTTCACCAACACAACAGAGATTTGGAGGCTGGCTTGACCGAAGCCGACAACAGTACTGACACTAGGATGGCAAGTATAGTCTGTGCAGGCTTTAGAGATGATCGCTACCACCCATCCCAGTTGAGTTTAACGAAGGAGAACGAGAAGTATCTGTCCCTCCGAACAGTATCTTTTCCGCTTTGTGAATGTTTATGGATGGCATTGGGACCAGCGTTGCGTCGGCGTAGCCCACCTTCTACATGCACACAAGTGTAGTCCTAATCTCTCTCTCTCCCTCTCTCTCTCTGTCGAAAGCGAACGCCCTCCTGAATTTGGCGACGTCGGGGCAGTGCACAAGTGGTCCTCGAGACAACTGTTTTTTCGCATTCAGTGAAGTTTTCATTTTGCCGTCCTTTGGCTCTTTCAAGTGTGCATAACACGTAAAAGTACCTTGATGGAAGACCTAGAACGTCCACATGTTTATGCCTTTCAAGGACACGCACTTTCATCTATACCAGTATGGATCAAACGCATTACTGTCTCGCTACCATGGATCCCTAGAACGGGCAACGCTGTTTCACCAATCTTAAACAAGAATAAACGCTGTATACATGGCCAGCCACTGTGCTACGCTCGGCTTTAATTATCTCTACCTTATTCTGCCATTGTGGAATCCGCCACTTGTCATCGTCTTTTACGAGAAACAAACAAGTGTAATGATTTTGATTCACCGAGCAAGACTCATGAGAATCGTTAAACCTTACTCAGATCAGGACAGTGTTTAAAAGCATGAACGCTTTCGGACTGGACACCGCACTAGGCACTCCGCGTATTACAGATGGTCTTGCGATAAATTCCAGTGTTCCACCGTTTTTTTGTGGTCAGTCCCTTTTCTAAACATTCTGTAGCCTCGTACTTTTTCAGTTTTCGTTAAGTCGATGTTTTTCACCGTCGCTTCCGTTTACACTAGAGCGTGTGTTGTAAGTTAGTCCCCTAAAACGAACCGCAAAGTAGATAAGCTGGACCGAGAGAACAAAGGTGACAGCTTTTAACGCGAACAAGGTTCTATCACAAAATCACGCAGGTAATACTAATGGCTAGAAAATGGCTGTCCCACAACTATAAGGTTACTTACATTGGTGATACCGCTTAAACCCCTAAAGATGGCTAACGTCCATTTTGCTTCAGAATTTCAACGAAACGTTTGCTCAGGCGGTTGATTATGCCTTTAAGTTCTGATTTACTCAAAACAATTCACGCTCGATGAATAGACTATTCAAAATAATCTTCCGACTGGTAAACTATTGTTGCGATATACATGCCAGGAAAGCAGTTCGAATGGATTTTCATTGACGCTATGACCGGTCAATTTAATGCCCCAATTCCATTGCTTCTTGACCGCTGTTTCGTTTTCCTGACTGAATGCATTCAACAGTTGTCTTGTTGAAACGTTAAATGTCCACCGCCATACTTGCTCAAAAAGACCATTAGTAGAGCAGAAAATACCTGAATGTGTTATTGAATTCTCTGTCCAGTCAATCGACTTGTCGATCTGCTGCCGACATACAGAGCACTGCGCAGTCACCCCGAGACTTGCGCCAACGATCGATGATTGGCCAGCACGCCCTTTAACTGTCGCTCGTACTGTTGCTGCTACTGTTTCTAACGATAGACTCCTGCAAGAGTTTGAAAGGTCAGAATAATAAACGGAATATTCCAGTGCTCGACCACATATCTTCACACCTGGAACTCGGAGTTTCGCCTGTATTAATGACGAAGATGTTTCGAAGTAGCAAACGAACTAAAAGTGCAACAGTTTGAAAGCTTAAACAATAAACGGACTCCCTTTTGTAATCTGCGAATCTACAAAGAATCAAGGCTTGTGAATCCGCAGCGTCTTTGGTGCGTCAAATTTTGGTGTTCCGAGGTTAAAAATCTTGTGGCAAAAAGTGTCGGACAGACATTATTTTCTTCCGTTCGTCAGCGCGCCGAAGGTCAAATAAAAAATGATAATGGTAGGGGGCGCTCACCGATCGTTCATACGGAACTCACTCGTTCCGTTGTGCCTTAAGGGCTCTCTCTCGAGCCCAACCAGCAGCCGCACAGCGGCACATGGTATATAGGCAGAATGGCATTACTGACAAAGACAAGGGAGACTGGGAGATAGTATTCCAGACAAGGTCAAGCGTATATTTTGTGAAAGCGGGCTCTAGTATCGCTAGTTCCAAAATTCCGTAGGGTAAACTCAGACATTCTGCGTGCTTTGGAGATAATCGGGAAGCAGTGCTCCGAAAGATCGGGGTTCTTGGAGTAGGTTATACCCAGATCCTTAATGGTGCCTGATATATTTATGCTGTGAGTGTCAATGCTTGATCGGGGCTGAGGATTGTTGACAACAATCACAACTGCGCACTTGTCTGAAGAAATATGCAGGCATTATGTGCAGCACCATTGGACAAAAACTATAAGATCTCACTTCAAGAATTCGAGCACGATGTCGCGATCTGCCGATTTATATTTATAGGCAACTTCCAACTCACCAGCCTACATAAAAGGCCTACAATTCTGAAATAAATCTGCTATACCATTGACAAAAAGGCAAAATAATAGCGGACCACGCATACTTTGCTGAATGACTCTACTCCTCACGCATGGGAAACTGGAGATAGCGTTGGAAACCCCGATCCGTTGAGTGCGAAAGCCCAGATAAAATTGCAATTGTCTTCACGGAAAAGAACTGAGGATATCTAACGGTACGTGCCAGAGGAAGAAATAAAAAGACCTTACCGTGAATGTTAAGGCCGGGGTGGTAAAAATGTCTTAAAGTAGTAAGCGGATTAAAAGTACGACTGTCTAAAAGCTTTAACAGTCAAATAGTTCCTTTTGTAATTAGGTCAAGGGGTCATGGCCCGTAATCCGGCAACGTTATTTGTATGTCAAATCCCGGCGTTCCGAGGCTAGAAATGTTTTCGCAAAGAAGTATTAAACGGATTCTATTTTCTTCCGTTCAGCAGCAAGCAGGAGGCTAAAGAAAAATGAACAGTATTCCGGACCAGGTCTAAGGGATATTTTATAAAGGTGCACTCCAATATCGGCACTTTTAAAATTTCGGAGGATAAATCCGGTCGTTCTGAGTGTTGTGGGAGACTATCAGGGCGCAGTGCTCAGAAAAATTGAGACTCTTGGAGTATGATACACTCAAATCCTTAATAACCCCACGCACATTCATGGCGTAACCGTCAATACTTAGTTGAGGTTGGCGGTCGTCGCCGACCGCCATGACTGTGCACTTATGCCAAGACAGAGAAAGGCGCCATGTGCGGCACCACTGGGCAAAGACCTGTATGTTGCTCTTTAGGAGTTGGGGCACGAACTCGTGAGCTGCCCACTTGTATCGACACGCAGCTTTCAAATCATCGGCATACATGAAACGCCTATCTTCCTGAAGTAAATCTGGGTGCACCATTGACAAAGAGGCAAAATATGAGCGGACTAAGTACATTACTGTGAATGACTCCACTCCTCACGC